CACTACATGTGATGTCTGAGATTTTTCAGCATACATTTTCTTCTAAGATTTTTATGGTTTTGTGAGTTACATTTAAGTGTTTTATCCATTTTAAGTTTATTCTTGCGTATGGTATACATTAGTGGTCTAGCTTTATTTTTTTTGCATATAGCTGTCCAATTTTCCCAGCACCATTTATTGAAGAAACTGTCTTTTCTCCATTGTATGCTCTTGTCTCTCCATTTTTTATTTCTTTAAGTTTGGTGCATGTTACAAACTGTTGGCAAACAAATGGTGGATCCCAGGCATAAAGATGAATATTATAGCACTATACTGTCAGGAGCATTGTTTACTGTTTTTATTTCCTCCCATTGGGTACTAGGCTCTTAATTGATTGATTTTTTAAAAATATATTTACTTACTTCAAGGTATTTTTAAAAAATATTTATTGTTGAGAGGTTTACAGATGTCCCTCTACTTTATTCCCCCATTGCCCTCCTCCACCCAGTTCCCCACCCACCCCAGGCCTTCACCACCCTATCGTCTGTGTCCATGGGCAATACATACATGCATATAATTTCTTTGACAATCTCTTCCTGCCCCTCTCCCCTTTCCTTCTGAGATTTGTTAGCTGTTCCATGTTTCTATGCCTCTGGTTCTATTTTTTCCATCAGTTCATTTTGTTCATTAATTAATTTTTAATATCTAAAGTTTATTTTATGAGTGTACATTTAAGAATCCATAAAAACTTAAGACCCTAAGATCTTGATTTAAATAGCTAGTGACATGGTCTGGTCAGTTTGGCTCAGCGGTTTTAGCATTGGCTGGTGGACCAAAGAGTCGCAGGTTCCATTCCAGTCAAGGGCACGCACCTTGGTTGCAGTTCAGTCCCCAGCCCTGGTCAGGGTCATGTGGGAGGCGACCAATCAATTTCTTTCTCTTTCTCTCTCCCTCTCTTTCCCACTCTATCTGAAGATAAATGGAAAAATATCATTGGGTGGATATTTAAAAAAAATAATAATAATAAGTAAGTAGCCATGACAGTTCTCTGAACAGTGATTCTCTGCCACCAAATCCAAGGGATTTATGGAAATAAGGATTTCATGAAGACACAGACTTCTTTGATAAATCAAACACACTGTGGAACCAGACGCCAATAAATAGAATAAGGGTAATAGGAGTATAATGACATGGAGGAACTCTGGATTCTTCATGTAGGACAGGACATGATATTGACTGCCTCCACTCTGCACTAGGAACAAGCAAAGCTCTGGGCCAGGAGAGCCAGCCTCGGTTACATTCACATGTTGGAAGCTTCTTCTCATGGTATTGTCCGTGTTTTGCTGATATTCTTCTGGACAATCCACTCTCTTTTGTCACAGTTAATTGAATATTTTCAGATTTTGTTTTCTTGTTCTTTTCATTTCCTCCTTGTTCCAAGAGACATCTTACTCCATGCAGACACCGTGCTACACTTCAGAGAGATATTTATTTGTATTTGCTGGCATTTTTCAGAATTAGGCGAAACTCAAAGTTCACTTTAACTGCTATGTTTTTATCAATGATACATCTAAGAAAGTGTGCTCCTTCCCCATTCCATTCTATAACATAGCAAACTCTGATTTTGAATTATGGAGGCGACGCTTTTTTTTATGTTTTAGTTTCCATTCTCAGAGTCTTTAAGCTCTGCTCATTGTCTGCTCTGCAGAGCGCTCTGGCTTTTGGCCTCAGTCATTCTGATTCTGATGGGAGCGGGGAGGGCTCCCATTCAATTCTTTCCAGCAGGAAGAGAAACAACCCAGCTGGGCTAACTTGGAAACACCTATCCATCTGATACATGCTTTCCAATTCAACTGGGCAAAAATAAGAATATCGTAACTCCTCTTGGGTAATATTAAACATTTTCCACCCCTCCCACATACATCTATAACAACTGAAGAAAATTTACCATGCAATTATCATACAATATGGTGTGCGGGTTACATACAGTAGACTATAATAACATGAATGATCAAGTAGCAAATTAATTAACCAAAACCCTCCAAATAGCCAAATTTGTTCAGTTCAAAGTTTGTGTTTCTTACAGTCATGTTTATGATTTATATTGCCTATATATTTCTGCTAGTAAATTTCTTTTGTTTATATGAATACATGAAACATATTATTATTCCATAATGTTCCACAAAGGGCACAATAATCTATATAAAATGCCATGACTAAGGGACCCTGTACTTGAACACTTTTAGAAGACGTGTGCTCAGACGCCTTAGTCCTGGTTAGGGAAACATCTCTGGACTCCATAATTCATACCACATCCCGTCATAGCACTACACCAAATGCCTGACTTCTTCCAGCAAGATTAGGGTAAACAAAGTTTCTATATTGAAAACTTAGAGAGTAAAAGTCCTTCTGTGAAGCCTTAGATAGCAGGTATTATTACTTATCAATGTCTACCTTTGGCTTGCCTTCCTCCATTTAACTCTGCATTTCCAACCACCTTCTCCAGGTAGAAGAAAATTGCCTTTATCTTTAGCTTCAGTCCTATTATTTGGTAGCGAATGGAGGTATCTTTTCTCCCTGATACATGCACCTGGGCAAGGAAACTTCAACAGAATTGTGAAGAATTGCAGAGAGACAGGGTTGAAATAACCACTTTAGTGGGAAAAATGAATAATGTTCAAATGGATAATGAAATAAATTTATAGTCTGTATTTATATTCTTCAAATTGCAGGTTAAAATCCATTAGAGGATTATGAATTCAATTTCATGTTGTTAATTTAATTTAGTGGGTGACAATCCATTTTTAAGAGGATGTCAGATAGAACAGAGTTTAATGCAAGATAAAAATCACGGACATATCAGAATGTCCCTGATTGCTTGTGGGTAGAAAGGATAAGTACTTAAAAAAAAAAGGTGTTAAAATATACAAGTTACATATTTTTCAGTGTATATATGGATACCTATACACATACATATGTTTGTACACAGTGAGTCACAATATAAGGTCTGTTTCTTATTGTGTCATAATAAAAAATTTTTGCAACCCACAGGTATGTAGGTGGAACACATAGATACATTTAAGACAACCTATACTGGTTCTTCTGGTACTTCTTTTGGGGATCATCAGTTACAAATTTACCTAAACAATATTAACATTGCAAATTGCCTTGTGTGCCCATCTACCAGTTTGCTGCATACATGAGAATTCTTTCCACCCATACTATAAGATCAAGAATTCTGCACACATATCCAAACACCTATACATGTCTATTACCATACTTTGCCTGTCATTCTGCCATGTCACTTTCCTCTGCTCAGACTTGCTCTGCAAGGTGGTGGTATAAATAAAAATACTTTCCCCCTGCTCAACTCAAAGACAATTTGGAAACCTCCCTGTAAGTGCCCGTGTCTCGTCATCTCAGCTGAAGGTCCACTGGAGTCATGAAAACCCATCTTAGTCTTGACTCCACCCAGGAAAAGTGTGACCCCAGATCAGCGAGCATTGTCTACTCCCCAGCCACGGATTGCCTTTGGGGCCTAGACAGATCAAAGTAAGTTCATGTCCATTTGACTATAAGGGGATTTGTGTTTGCTGAAGGCTAGGTGTCTGCCAGGCCTTGTTCACTAGGTACAATATGTAGATGGTCTCTCTTCCCACTATCAGTTTGACTTTTCTTTGTTCCCCTACTGAATGCCTTTATGGAAAGCACAGCAGCTTTTATTTCTGTAGCCCCAGCATCTGACACAGTTCCTGGCAAATACCAGGCACTTGATAAATGTTGGTTGGCAAAAGGAATGATCATCCTGCATTCTATGAAATCAATGAGAAAATAGGCTCAGTAAGTGTCCTATAATTATTCACCAATATCAGAAATAAAGTTACAACAAAGCTCTTGGTGATTCTAAAATTCATGATATTTTCATTTTGCTGCATCTGCACTACCATGAAATTCATTCTAAGGAACTTTGTTCCCAATAAGGGGACTTCATTGCCACTGTCCTAGAAAAAATGTGTGATGATAATGATCATGATGATGTCTATGAATTTCAACTGTTTGAAAGGTGGAACCATCAAGAAAAAGACAAGAAACAGAGATGTGGGAAAAGAAGAGAGAGTTGTTTTCCAGTGCCTCTAGTTTTTCTGTATTGTAGTTTATTCATCTAATAAGAGGGAGTCTTAGTGCTTGTTTAGTAACAGGCAACAGTGCATATTCATTTCATTTTAAGTTACTTGACTCCCTATGCCTAGAGAGATAGTATAGATAGTATACCGTAGGATAGTGGTTCTCACCTAGGGACCATTTTTCCTCCAAGGCACAGTTGGCAATGCCTGGGGACATTTTTGGCTACCAAAACAGAAGAGAGGGCTTCTCCTGGAAACTTGTAGGTAGAATCCAGGGATGTTGTTAAACATCCTATAATTCACAGGACAGCCTCCAGCAACAAAGAACTGCCCAGCCCCAAATGTCAATAGTGCCATAATTAAGAGACCCTGCTATAGAGATTAAGAATTCCTCTTCATTCAAACCATCAGGGTTGAACTCTTTGCTCCACCATATTTGATCTGAATGGCCTTGGCTCCTACTTGCTGAATATGTTGTGCCTGAGTTTCTCCATTGATAAAATGAAGACAGTAATAGTATCTTGTATCACATGATTAAATGAGTTTAATGCAACAAAAGTGCTTAGGACAGTGATCGACAAATAGAAGTTTTTGATAAGTGTAATTTACTATTAAAAGAACTTGCTGATTGAATGAGAAATGATGCGTTGGTGAACATACATTTTTCCTGGTACTTCCATCATTCTTGTGTACTGTTTGTAGACAGGTCAACAGTTAATAGAAAGCTCTTTTACATTTTAGCTGGCTTGAATCTAGATGTTGGAGTCCTTTCCTGGGGTAGATGGTTTGGTATAAATATGTCAGAGTACCCAGTGGAGTCACTAAGTAGTTGGTTCATCTGTTAAGTATGGTGCTAGTTGTGTGGCATTGACCTTCATTCTCTATTGCAGGTGAAGATCCTAATGTGTGAAAATGAAGACCCAACTAACTACGATTTGCTGTTTAATGTTATTTCTGGCCACAGAATGTTCTCATTATAGAATCCAGATCCACAGAAAAGTAAGTTGATCCATTCCATTGTTATGGGGTCCCGTGAGAAAATTGTCAGTTCTTCAAGATGGCTAGATTTACGATAAATATCACATCATGTTAAAGAAAATTTCCAATGACTGCTATTTTTCTCTTGCTGATGATATTTTTCTAAAGTATAGGGAAAAAGGAACAAAGGAAAATTGAGAGGCAGCGGGGACTTGCAACAGTATAGTTGTAAGGTACAACACTGTGTAACAACATAGTAGAAAGCACTTTGCAAACCACAAAGTGATGTGGAGAGGAGAAAGTACAGTCATAAGCCTTGGGGATACATTCTGAGAAATGCATCCTTAAGTGATTTATGTAATTGTGTGAACATCATAGAGTACACTTACACAAATCTAGAAGGTATAGCCTACTACACACCTAGGCTATATGGCTATCATTGTATGCATGGTCTGTTGTTAACTGAAACATCATTATGTAGCGGATGACTGTACCTGGCAGCTGAGCAATTTAGGTTCAGACCTTAACTTTGATTCTTGCTGGTTACGCAAGTTGCCTCACTTCTCTGAGCTTTAATTTCCTTATCTATAACATGAAGGTGTTTTGTTTTTTTTTTCCTTGTAGATCATTTTTTTTAAAAAATCTTCACCTGAGCTCATTTATTGATTTTAGAGAGAGAGAAAGGGAGAGAAAGAGAAACCGATCAGTTGGCTCCTGTATACATCACAACCTAAGTATGTGCCCTGCCTAGGAATCAAACCCACGACCTTTTTGGTGTGCAGGACATTCCAACCAACCAAGCCACCCAGCCGGGCCTTTTAGATTATTCTTATAGTCCTTTATAGCTTTTAAATGAGTTAGTGATTCTATTATTACAACCTAATGCTTATTTCTAGTATCAGTTCATTTCTTCTTTTCTAAGGATCTATATATAGTATCTGGTAGAGTATATTACTTGCATTTCAGTTACAATTAAGACAAGCAGAGAACACTTTAGTGCCATAATTGTCATCTGCGTGGTCTCCCTGAATACTTATACTTTGCAAAAGATGTATGCAATTCACTAACTTGACCTTCAGAACACAAGTGACCACCGTCAAGGTTCTAGCCCTCCTTGGAGGGCAGTGTGTTCTCTGTCCCTACTCACACGTGTGTTTCTTTCACCAAGTTTCTGCGATATCAGCACATGAACCAGCTGCATTTTTCTTCCCAGTCCTGAACACATTTTCTCTTCACATCCACGTGGAGCCTCTAAGTTGAGATGAGAGAGGAGAGTTCCACAGTAAAGAGGACTTTGGGAATTTATGTTTTACAGGATAGAGATAAACTTCAACATCCTGAAGAGAAATCCAAGACGGGAAGGATACAAGGTATGTGGCCACAGAGCAGTCTTCTTCCATTGGGAGACATGGCTAGACCACAAGTGTTCCAATAAAATAACAGTCTCTAATACGTTCTCAGTGCTTACTAGAATTGAGGGATTTTCTTACAATTATGCCATTATCCATGGTGTAGTCAATGAAGCAAGATGACAAATGTTCCTGGGTTCTAGAATAGTAGGTAAGTGTTCATTTTAAAACCTGCAAGGGAAATCTGTTTGAACTAAAGGGCTAACAAGAGGAAGAATTGGGAAGAGGACAAAATTTATTCATTTCTTTGTTCAAAGATATTTTTGGGTTGCTTGACATATGTAATGCTTTGGTGCTGAGAGGTATATTGAGGTGATGTCAGATAGATATTATAGTGATGAGAGTGGTCACTCTTGAGAATCGAGACACAAACTATGGAAGTAATTAAAACTTATAAGATAGTAAAATCATGTGCTTTTCACCCAAATAGTAGGAATGACTGAATTCTGCATGGTCATGGCTAAGTATATTTTTAGTGGCAGATAAATCTCTACTTAGATATGAAATTGAGAAAGGAAAGAGGAAAGAATGAGAGACAATTTATTGAGCATTTATGGTCGGTACTGCACAAGACGCTGTCTCATTCAATGTTTTTAACAACACCATGGTGTCATCTCTAAATTATATGAATGAAGAAATGGAGAAACACTCAGCTGAAATAACGTGCCAAAGGGATACACTGGGTAAATGGCATGCAAAGATGAAAACCCACATGTTTTTTTTCTCTGCCAATGAAGTCATCCACAGAACTATCCAAGTCATAAATACCAGTGTATTCCTCATCTCACACAACTAGTCATCACATCATATTGATGTCAACACCTTAACATTCCTCTGCCACCATCCTAGGGCAATTCCTCCTGGGAAAACTTCAACATCTTCATTCCTGATCTCCCTGCCTCAAGTCAATCCACTCTAGCTATGGCCAAGTTAGGCCTGCCACCAGTTTTTTGTAAATAAAGTTTTATTGGAACACAGCTATGCCCATTCATTTACTTAATGTCTTTGACTGCTTTCATACTACAAAGGCAGAGTTGAGTAGTTGCCACAAGACTGTATGGCCCACGTGTGTTGAAAATATTTACTCTCTGGTTAGTATAGTCATATATAGCAAATAAAAATATAAGATGCTTGGTTCAATAAAATTTCAGAAAAACATTGAATAATAATGCATGGACCACACATACCCTGAAACATTATTCATTGTTTATCTGAACATCTTCAGTCTAATCTCCTTATTTGTGGATTCTGTACTTGCAAATTCTCCCACTCTTTGAAATGTATTTGTAATCTCCAAGTCAACACTCACAGTGCTTTCTTGATCATTCACAGACATTCACAGAAGAGCAAAAAAATTGAGTCTTCCAAGGGCACGTCCCCAGCGGAAGATGAACAAGTGGTGCTCTCTTACTATATACAAGTGTTCTTATGGTCTATATAGTGCCACGTGTTTTGCTTTTTTGTTGATGAATTTATTGTTTAATATGGCCTCCAGTTGTAGGGCTTAAGTGTTGGCTAGTGTTCATAACAGAGCTGTGATGGACCTTATGGAGAAAATACCTGTGTTAGATGACCTTCGCTTATACGCTGTCACGAGTTGTAGCACTATTGGCTGTGAATTCAATGTCAATGAACCAATAATATATTATATATTATATATTATATAAGGTGACTTTAAATAGAAACACGCATAAAACAAGCATACATTGAGGTTGCTCTGTTGATGAAAATGTCGTGAGCAGAAGCTCCCAGAAACCTAGCTTCGTATTTCCCCGAGGAGCGATGGTTCAGTATTTGCTGATTCAGTGTTTGTGGCAGCAACTTCATAGAAAATAACTACTGCAAATAATGAGAATCTACTGTATCTGAAAATAAAATTAACATTTAACTGAGCTTCCTGTATTTTGTTTGGCATTTATTTGGTCCTTTATCGAAAAGTTTGCAGAATCCTGCTCTATGCTACTGTTAATTATTTTTGAAAAACAAATTTAATCTTGTTTTCTGGTAATCCCCTGTTATTAGCACAGCATTCAAGGTCCTTCAGGACTTGACCACTGCTTTTCTTTACTCCTCATCTCTTGCCATTCTCTCTTCAGATACTCCAATCTAGCCTTTCTGAGTGACCTGTGATCCCTCCTTTCCATGTACTGACTACACATCAGCTTCACAATCTGCCTGGCAGGTCTTTCTTGTAGCTGAGGACTCAGGTCAACATTACCTCCTTTGGAAGCAACTTATAATCCACACTATGAGCTTGATGCCCCCATCAACGCATGGGACTGCTATTTAGACTTCTCTTTCTCTTTTCCTTTTCAGAGAAATGCCTTGGACCTTGCATCACTTCATTCAACTGTAGCCAGCCCTGTGCTCAGCCCTTTCGTGGAGAAATAGGATATACATGTAGTCAAAACAAGTGGCAAAAATCAACTGAAACATGCACCAGCCTTTCTGTGGAAATAATTTTTAAGGTGATGCAATTTTGTATTATTGGCTCCAGGATCCAATCCCTCAGGAGGTGGTAGAGGCATTTTTAATGTGTACTGTTGAAAAATTACAATAAGTCTCAGGTCTGGACTTGGGAAAATCTACTGAGTGGGTTAAATTTGTCTCTTCTCCTTCCTTCCTCACCCAAACGCATATTTTGTCCTCTCTCCCCATGCTCCCTTTCAGAATCTTTTCTCAAAAACAGATATAAAACTCATTTGCATAATGGTAAATGCTTGAAGGTTAAAGTTTTTAACTCTGAAGATGGATTTGCATAACTCTTGGGCTAACCAATTAATTAACTGTGTCTAGAATCAAATTCATTTTGAATTTTTTTCTCATTCACTTGACCAAAAGAAAAGAGAAATGAGTGACCCAAAGGGAAGAGAAATCCAATGAATACAAGAATTCCGAGTTAAAATGAAAATATCTTATCTTATGTTCTTTCACTTAAGCACCCACGTACCTTCTCTTAAATCTGCAGAAGCACATGAATCCCTGCTTTTCTAAAACTTCCACAGTGAGTTTGTAAGGGGATTTGTACGAAGGTTCTGTCACTCAGCATAGGGAGAGGTACTTGCAACACCAGTGGCGTGCAAAAGTAAATGAAATGAAACAAACTATTGCTTTGACTTATCCAGTTACATTCTGGGAGATTATGGTAAAAGTATGTGGAAATGAGCAAATCATTTCTTCTCGTGACTGAACTCAGCTTTTGGAAATCGCAATTTTTTTGTGTTCCGTGTTTGACCTGTCAACCTCCAACAACACCACCACCCCTGAAATCCCATGTGGTTCCTTTTAAAATAACAATAATAATTAGACAAATTTTGTTTCTAGAAATTCTCCACATCTCTGGAGAAAACTGTCTCATTATAATATGTGAATAAAGTCATGGCCCTGAAAGCAAATTCCAATAGGAAAAGTGCGATCTCTGAGGGGAACTTGGATGCAATCCCCTGCCTGTCGTGACCCCCACCTTACCCTCTCTACACCTCTCAGCATCTAAACCACTATTTAGCACCATTTGTTTCTCTGTTTTCTCCACATGGGTCGGTTTGTGCCTTTAACTCATTTAGTCTGATACATGTTAGATGTTTAATCACTTTTAATAAAACAACTTTTTTTTTTTTTTTTTTTTTTTTTTAACCACAGGACTTAAATAGCGCGACGCGTCTCTCCGTCGCAGCACCCTCTATACCTCTGCACGTTCTCGACCTTCGCGCTCCAGAGCCCATAGAGAGCGTAGCGCAAGGGATCCGCAAGAACTGCCCCTGGGACTATGCCTGCATAATCGAGGTGGTGAAGTCCTCGGAAGCCACCTCTGGAAACATCGCATTCATTGTGCAGTTACTAAAAAATATTTCCACAGACTTGCCTCATAATGTTACTCAAGAGAAAATGAAGGTAGATATTCTTTGTTGAAAACCGACCCTTGCCCAGCTGGTGTGGCTCAGTAGATTGAGCATTGTCCCCTGGACTGAGGTGCTGGTTTGATTTCCAGTCAGGGCACATGCCCGGGTTGTGCGCTTGATCCCCAGTAGGGGGCGTGCAGGAGGCAGCCAACAGATGTTTCTCTCTCATCTATGTTTCTATCTTTCCCTCCCTCCCTCTCTCTCTTAAAAAAGAGAAAAATCAATAAAAACATGAACAACAACAACAAAAAGATGCTCATTTTCCTCCAAATCTTGCGCTTTAACAGTTTCAAATATACTTTTCAGGGTAAAAACTACAACCACCACAGCAAACATAACAAGAATGTCATTTCAGTATTTCACATTGATTCATCCTGGTTGATGGAAATTGTCAAGAAGTTAGAACAGGTTTTACATATTTTTGTATAGTATTATGGTTTCCAGAAAAATATCACAAAGTGATGGCCGTGGGCAAGATGGTATCTCCTCTAGTGTTTCCAAAATTTTATTCTGGAGAATATAATTGTTTTGAGAAATGTTAAAGAAGCTTCCATTTTCAATAGGGAGACCCATAGCACATTATGTGTAGGAACTCTGGGTTAAAGTTCAACTGGGTCTGGCCAGTGTGGCTCAGTGGTTGAGCATCGACCCACCAAGAGGTCGCCGGTTCAATTCCCGGTCAGGGCAGGTTGTGGGCCAAATTCCCAGTGGAGGGCATGCAGGAGACAGCCAATCGATGTTCTCTCTCATCGATGATTCTATCTCTCTCTTCCTCTCCCTTCCTCTCTCTCTAAAAAATCAATAAAGAAAAAAAAATTTTTTAATGAACCTAAGATGAGAGGTTCAAGTTTAAAAAAAAGAAAGAAAGAAAGCTCAGCTGGTTTTCTTCTGGCAAGACTTCTTGGACCCTTTAATGTGTTAATGAACATTGGCACTCTTTGTGGGAGTCAGACATATAGGAATATAGTATTGCTCAAACTTAAGCTACTACAGAATCTACCCCCAATGCTCTTCCTGAAACATGGGAAATTTGGGTTATATGGACTGCAGTTTGGAAATGCTGCCCTGGGCACATAATAGAGCAGATAAACCTTATCTGTGACCCATTTTATTTTATTTTTAGCATACTTTTACTTTTCTTCCCTGTAGGCTTACCCGCATGAGATTCAATAAACAGGAAATTTGAAGAGACATATGTCAAATGAGATCAGAGCATTAGATTAAGAATTTTCAGATTTTAGAAATCACCTTTGTAAAATTATGTGTAAATCCTTAGTATGATTTCCACTTTTCTCCATTGCAGAGCTACAGCGAAGTGGCCAACCACATCCTTGACACAGCAGCCATTTCAAACTGGGCTTTTATTCCCAACAAGAATTCCAGCTCAGATTTGTTGCAGTCAGTGAATGATTTCGCTCAGCATCTCAACATCCAAAATGAATCTGAGAATATTGTGGATGAACCCTTCATTCAGACAAAGGGGTTTCACATCAGCCACAACACATCAGAGAAGAGTTTCAGATTCTCCGGGAACATGTACAATACAACAGAAGGTATCTTAGGAGTGATAGAAATTCCCAAGGAGGAACTGAGGAAGCTACTACCCAATACATCCCAAGCTATCAGCATAGCATTTCCCACCTTGGGGGCTGTTCTGAAAGAAGCCCACTTGCAAAATGTGAGTCTTCCCAGGCCGGTAAATGGTCTGGTTCTTTCCGTGATTTTACCAGAAAGATTACAGCAAGTCTTCCTCACGTTTGAGAAGATCAACAAATCCCAGAGTGCCAGGGCTCAATGTGTTGGCTGGCACTCCAGGAAAAGGAGATGGGATGAGAACGCATGTGCAAAGACCTGGGAGATGAAGAACAGTGTGAAATGCCGCTGCAACTACACCAACGCAGTGATGTCTTTTTCCATTCTAATGTCCCCCATATCTATAGACGACAAAATCCTGGACTACATCACCTGCATTGGGCTCAGTGTCTCCATCCTTAGCTTGGTTCTTTGCCTGCTCATTGAAGCTACAGTGTGGTCCCGGGTTGTTGTGACAGAGATATCATACATGCGTCACGTATGCATTGTGAACATAGCCGTGTCGCTCCTGACAGCTAATGTGTGGTTCATCATATCCTCCAACTTTAGCAAAAAGGCCCAGGACTACAAATGGTGTGTTGCAATGACATTTTTTAGCCACTTTTTCTACCTCTCTCTGTTTTTCTGGATGTTCTTCAAAGCACTGCTCATCCTCTATGGAATATTGGTCGTTTTTCATAGGATGATGAAGTCCCGCATGATGGCCATTGGCTTTGTCATTGGCTATGGGTTCCCGCTGATCATCGCTGCCACCACAGTTGCTATCACAGTGCCAAAGAAAGGCTATACGCGACATGATGCCTGTTGGCTTAACTGGGACAATACCAAAGCCCTTTTAGCATTTGCCATTCCAGCCTTGGTCATTGTGGCTGTAAATCTTCTTGTGGTTTTGGTTGTTGCTGTCAACACCCAGCGGCCCTTTATTGGCAGTTCCAAGTCTCAAGATGTGGCCATAATTAGGAGGATCAGTAAAAATGTTGCCATCCTCACCCCACTGCTGGGACTGACCTGGGGTTTTGGAATAGCCACCCTCATAGATGGCACGTCCTTGATATTCCACATAATCTTTGCCCTGCTCAATGCTTTCCAGGTAAGTTCCAAGAGGGAGACTTATTTTATTAATTAATGTAATTAAGTAATATTTCACTTATAAAATATTATTTTATATTATGTTATTCTGGCTTTGCAACAAAAAACAGCTATGGTTTAAAAATATAGAACACAAAATATTCCTTCCATTTCCCTCCTTAGCTTAGAGACATTTAGATGTGTTATCTCTTACCCTGTAGATTATCAAGTTGCATTGAACCAATCAGGCTGGATGGGTGAACATTTCCTTACTTCTCTCCTCACTGATCCACCTGTATCCCTCCTAAAGTTTCAGTGGCAGAGAGGTTGACCTGCACGTACAGAGGGGTAGTCTAAGGTCAGGGCTGTGTGAGGTTACACTCACATGTCATGCCTCAAAACAAGCACAATCTTTATCCTTTCTCAAGTAGTTTAAGAACTCAGTGAAATGAGTCATTTTCCATGGTGAGCCATTCTCTTTGAGTGTTAACCAATCAAAGGCTGTCATGTTTCTACTCCCTGTTATGTAATGGTAGGTTGTTATTTGTAGAAATCAATCTTGCTCCATGTTACCTGATCCTAGGAAAGTCACTTCTCTCTGGGCCTCAACATTCTTATCTGCAAGATAAAAAGATGGATCTAGTAGTATCTCTGTTGTCATGTTTTTCCTTAACATACTTGATTGACATGATGATCTCTCTAAGAGCTGTTTTACTTCATCTTAGCTGCTAAGCTTGCTTATTTGGGAAACTGTCATTAGCCAGACTGTTTTCCATACCTATGGATAATAGAAAATGTGGCAAGTTTATATTCCTAATTATGTTTTTAATCAGGGGTTGGCAAACTGTGGCCTGCTGCTTGTTTTTGTAAATAGTTTTATTGGAATACAGCCCATTCTCATTCATTGACATTTTGCCTATGGCTGTTTTTGAGTAACAGTGGCAAAACTGAGGTAGTTGTAACAGAGACTGTATAGCCTGCAAAGCCTAAAATATTTATTATCTGTTTCTTTGAAGAAAAAAGAAAAAAAAATGTTGGCTAGTATTTAAATACATAACTGCATAATACAGCATCAAAGCACTCCTATTAACACGTCATTACTACTCTACTGAAAAATTTGGTACAAAATATAAAGCAAGCTTTAAAGAAATGCCATCTCAGATAAATTATATATCTCACTCATAGTTCTTTCATAACTATGGAGAACATTTATTTCACTTTTTTCCTAGAATTACTTTAAAGAGAAAACTTTGACTTTAGATTTTCTTTTCAATTAAAAGCTCTTGGGCTCACATCAATCTCCCCAACTCTTGAGGAGAGAGCAAAGATTTCCACCAGTTCCTCTGGTGACTAATGACTTTATGCTATTTTTACTTTGCAACTTAATTAAGCCTCAGAAGGTTTTGTGGTTTTGTTTAGATCACTTATTTTTCTCCTTTCTTGATAGAAAGAAAAACACTGAAACACTTGTGACTTGTATTTTAAAATTGCAGTCTTCTGATCATTGTTTCTTCACCAGGAAACTATCTTTAGAAACCCCATCTTCCCTCCACTCCCATGGCAGGTTCCAGATTTTTCTTGGACTTCAACTCTTAACATATAAAATGATTGCCTTCCAATTGTTGTGACTTTATAGGTGACCAGATATTTAAACTTGAGGAAACTCTTATCTTATCAGTTTCTGTGATTTCTCTTTTATGCAGAAACTTCTCTCACTAGCCCAGAGAATCTGGTGTGAAATTAGTCTAGAATACATAGCATTTTTTGTAGATACCTTCCATGATTGTGCCTTTGAGTTACCAAATCCCATGTCATGTTTCATTGTTATCATGAATAGGAACAGCAACCTTAACATTTGGGAAGAAAGTAAACAGATTTAATAAAATTGAAAACTCTACATCTGTAGTTATTTAATAAGTATCAATAATTGGCATGAAGGTGATCCTCTTTCTTTGAGGTGCACTCAAGAAAACACACATCAATGCATTTTTATCTGAATCAATAGAAAGTGAAGTTTCTAATATCTGTAATGGCCCTAGAAGGTATTTAAAAGAATGGTAATAATATAACACCTGAGATGTTGCCTGCAAAACTGTCCCTCATACTTCTGTTAAACTTTGCCTTAGGGGTTCTTCATCTTGCTGTTTGGAACCATTATGGATCACAAGGTAATTTTAATTTGTTTCGCTCATTATAAATGATTTCCACGTGGCAGAGGGAAGCAGGAGGAGGAAGCAGGTTTGATCAGAGAGCATGGTGCAGGGGAATTGAGTTTGTGGGGTGTTTCAGGGCATCAGCTGGGAAGGGGAAAGGAAAGAACTCTATTCTCCAATTCCCTGCACTTCATCAAGTCAACAAGAGGCTGTATGTAAATACAGCTAGTGAAAAGAATTAAAACCATACCACAATTTTAATCTTAATCATAAATCCCATTACAACTGTTCCTCAACATTTATCTAAGCATTATCATTTGTCAAGCATGGTGCTAAGCCATCTAATACTGCTTCTGTCAGTGTTATTGGTCTCAAAATTTCAGGACACAAGTCTGGGCATTGGGAACTTTGTCATTTCTTTGCTGTCACTGCTTCTTTAGATAAGAGATGCTTTGAAGATAAAGATGTCTTCACTGAAGGGACCATCCAGAGTAGCAGAGGTAAACCTCTCCTTTTTGCTTTCTTCATCAAAGTCATGCAGACACAAATATTATAGCTCAGTATTCACAATGTATTAGCAAAGAGAATCATTATGGTATACTTTCATTCACTCATTTCTTCATTCAACAAATATAAGAGTATCCTGTTAAAGCTTAAAGGGAGAGAATATATCCCTCAAGGGAATTTTCCACATGGAATGTATTTCAACCTGGCATTTGGACCACTGAGATGGGACAACATGGACCCAGGATCATAGATTCATAAAATGCTAGTGGGCACAAATGATAGATGAGTTATAAATGAGATTCTAGTCTAGCTTACTCATTTCACAGGTAAGAAATTCAAGGCTCAGAGGACTTGAGATTTTCCCAAAGCCACCAGCTAACCATGAGAATTAACATTCCACTTGCTTAGCACCCAGTAAACCATAGTCCATGGATTGGAGGATGTATACTAATACATCTTGAAGATGACTTGTCCAAGCTATGTGTCATTTAAGATACCAACTAAAATTGCTACCTTTGCCATATTAATTTGAAAGAAGTCATTTACTCAATGAACAGTTTCGCAATAAGAGCTACTTCTTTAAAAACAAATAAAAACTTTCTGGACACATTAAGAATTGGCATTACTGGTTAGCTAGTATTGAGTGTAACTTCTTATATAATTCACCAATTTTATGATAGACATTTTCTTTTTAACATTTCTGAAATTGTAAAGTATCTTAAAATCAGTGGCATGGCATGGTTTAATGGATGAGTTGTTGTTTTTTTTTTTCTTTTCCTTTTTCTTTCATGGTGGAATATAAAAATAATGATGTAGTTTCCAATGTTAGATTCAGTGAAACATGATAATTCAATTTTGTGTAGCTGTGTCAATGTCGGTCCTTCTCTTAGCATCTTCATTTTTACATGTTTATCTCTGGGCAGGTATATACATAAATATAAAGATATGTGCATTTTTGTCAATGCAATTACTCATTGACATCACTGTTATTTTGTTCCCATTTAGAATGCATCGTTAAGCCCAACCAATGGATCTAAATTAATGAATCGTTGAGGATGAGATGTAAGTATTAAAAACTTAAGGAGAAGCTTCTCCTGTAAGTTGTGAGAGACCACTCAGTGCCTCTGTGAACATGCTCTTGCCTACTCTCTGAAGCTGGAATGAGGTGGGAAGGGAACAGGTGGATGAACCTACCCTTCAGAGGACAGAAACTTCTTGATTGCCCAGTGCATAAATGAAAATATGTGCATCATCTTTAAAACCTTTGTGATCTCAGTTTACAGAACTAACTCTTAGGCACACTTTTTCTTTTCTTTCTTTTTTTTAAAAAAAATATATTTCTATTGATTTTTTTAGAGAGAGAGGAAGGGAGAGAGAGATAGAAACACCAGTGTGAGAGGGAAACATCGATCGGCTGGCTCCTGCATGCTCCTTACTAGAGACTGAGCCTGCAACCTGGGCATGAGTGCCGACAGGGAATTGAACCGGGACCTCTCAGTCCATTGAGCCACATCAGCCGGGCAAGGCACACTTTTTTTGTCCTCAGTGAGAAGATGCTCTCATCACACCTGCACTGATACAAGATACACCCTTGCTGTCCACAGCATTCACACACCTAATTCCACCTTGGCAGTGAGTGGTGACACTTACAATAGCCTGACTGTCAAGAAGGAAGACTTCATTGATTGAAACCACAAAGCAACAAGCCTGTCTCTCCCTAATGAAGTCGGGGCCCAGATTCATTTCCAAGGGGGCGTGGGTGGAGTTGCAATGAATTAGCTGTCTACTCATAGCCAACCTTCGGGACATTTCTACACAGGGGAAGTCAGGGGAAACATGTTAGGCAGCCATGAAGGAGAACAAGTCACACATGGCAGTCAGAAACCTGAGCGGTAACAGAAGAACGTGGGCAGGAAAGATCCGTCTTGGTATGGTTGTGTCTTGGAGTCTCATGGCCTTTCTGCATGGGTATTGATGAGTCTCAGGTTTTGTTTTTAAGCACCACCTGGCATCAGGCGCATCCTCTTTTATATTACTTTCCTTTCTGAGTTATGGCCCATATATTCAGTGATGGCGCAAAGCAAAGGCAAATCTTAGGGAACTAAAGAACCCTAAGGGGACTTCCTGTGTTACAGATCCTACAAACCTGATGTGTTGGTGATCCAGAGAGCAGGAGGGGGAGTAAGGAGGGCTCTATTATACACACTGACTGGCATATGTGGGGTGCTGGGGAACCAGAGAACGCTGCCATATTATCCTTATTTAATCATCCTCACATTTCAATTTTTATATGAGAACATTATAAAGGGGAAAGGAGGGTTTTGTAGACCTTTGCAAAGGTTAGCTCTCCCAACCTCTGCCCGTTCTCTAGCCCATGGTACAATATCACTATAATAATAGTTCTTGATTAGTCATTCATTGAGACGTAGTTCAGATGATCTGTTAAAGTTGACCTTTTCATTAATGATCCAGTTTGAGCTATTAAGGAGTTCATTAGACTGTCTCAGCTGGAGGCCGTTCCTCCTGGGCACCATACGTTCAGCCACTCGAGAGAAGAGAAGCAAGGTTGCTGTCTTACACCTAGCTAGTGGCTATAGTAAAAGTTGGAGGGAACCAGTGGAAGCCAAGATCAGGAACTACACTGCTTAGTAGCACTGGGGAGGTGCACAAGGCTAAGATCCATATTAGGAGGAAGAGCAGGTAGGAGGTAGGAATGCAAACAGTTCTCCCCAAAGAAATCCACACAACTCTTCAACTTCCATATTTGAACCTGTGAGGTGGGGGATGACCTGAGGACTGAGTTCCTCCTCTGGAGGCCCAGGGCCTATGGAATTTCCTCAGTACTCGGGACTGTGTTCTTCACATCTGGAAGCATGTGGTATCAGAAGGATCCAGGAGCTACAGCTGGTACAGTGCAGACCATGTTGGGGCCCAACAAGTGTTGGAGGACAGGGACAGGAAGTTGACACTAAATGATCCTCCCAAGTCCAGAATGGAGAGCTGACAGCATGAGAAAGGTCTTTCATCAGAGATCAGGCTCATCCACCCCATGAATTACAGCTCAGGTCATGGGGTGTATGGTAAGCGCAAGGCAAGGTGGCAGACTGGGGCAGGGTTAACCTACAGGGAAAAGGTCGTATTTCAAACCTTACTTCAGGTAAAATAGAAAACTGATGGGGTCTCAGGAGGTGGACAGAATGCCAGTGGAGAGAAAGGAGAGGGAGGTCAGAACTAGACATGCAGAGAATTGAGGCCCCTGAACGTGGATAGAAGCTCCTCAGACCCCAGTAATCTCAGGTGGGATTGTTCTTAGAAACACAGTTGGGACAGGCTTGTCAGGAGGCCACAGGGTCAGGGAAGGACTGCAGAGCAGTTTTCTTCAGGAGTAGATTCTAACTGGGGGACCCCACTCTGGGAGGAGGCATTTTTAAGATGAGGCCACAGTGCGTGGAGCCCTTGGCTATTCATAGAAATGGTAGGCCTTTAATATGACTCAAACAGAGCCGGTTTTACCCAGTATGATTTCAGGGACACGGCTCTGTTCCTCTAAAATCTCTTCCACGTATTTGCTTATGCCTGAAATTCACCCAAAATGTTAGAGAACTCTTTATTGCACCACGAGCAATAAGCCATTGAACAAATACCTGGAGAGAAGCAACACTGTTTTCTATGTAAAGTTGTAAATTCAGAACTGCAGAGTCTGTCCGGAGGGCAAGCGGGCACTGAGCACTGAGTTGAAGGTTGTTGGAGCAGCATGGAGAAGGCATAAGGCCCAGACCAACAAAGCTGGGAGAAGAGCCTTCCTACTGTGTGACCTTGAGGACATTGCCTAATGCCCCTGTACCTCCTTTCTCTCTCTGTTACACAGGGCTAATAATAGTACATACCTCCCAGGATGGTTTCTGGAATCAATGAGTTAATACATTAACAACTTGTAGAGTGGTGCCTAGTTCAAATTAAGTCATCAGTAAATGCCAGCCATTAATTACTCTTTCTTTTAACCAGAGCGTCCACTGTTTTGCACAGTCTCCCCATTTCTCATGGACTCTCTGTGTCCTGGACTGAGAGCTGAGCTCCAGGAGAAGACGGGTTGGAATGAGAAGAGACTATTATGCTTTCTTGGGAGACTTTCTCGTTTTGCCTGCAGCAAAACGAGGTCTCATGGTGGAAATGTTTGCTGAGGAAACTGAGGTTACCATCTGGTGATTAGGCTTTATTTAAGAAAGTGGATCTACTGACCCTTTGACCTACCATTGACCTGCAAGTGTCTGGCTTCTTGGTCAATCCTGGCAAGATTAAGACCTACCTGCACATTGTTTTATGACCTCTGGAAGAGCCTGGGGCTGTTGAGGCCCTGTTGAACTTGATCTCAGGCCAGCTCTGTGCCTCCACGGGCTCAGGCATCCATCACTCTGTGTGGATCCTGTGCATGTTGAGGACAGGGGTTAGATCGGTTTAGGGAGTAGGGTTTCAGGTGGGAGTGTGAGGTGGGATGGCAGGAGAAACATTGCATCTACTTTGGAAAGAGTTAAGTCATGGCAGTTTTCCTAAAGAGAGGGGACAGAAGAGAAATAAGAGGACTCTTTAATGTGTTTATTATTTTAGGCCTTGAGTAAAACTAATTTAGCTCTTAAAACATTAGTTTCCTCATTTGTGAATCAGGTAAAATATTCTTACAGTTATTATTATTATTGTGTGTAAGTGTGCATGCGCGCACGTGTGTGTGTGTGTGTGTGTGTGTGTGTGTGTGTGTGTGTGTGTTTAAACCACTGTATATAAAAAAAAATGCCTGGTTGTTATTTTAGAAATAAAAATGAAAACATTTACCTTTCATAAATGCTCACGTGTGAGTTCATTCAAGATGGGCATCCTCATTGGTTCCATGACATTCTTGGATATCCACCCTGATATCAGTTTACCTGCACTCATTGACTAGACTCACAGGAAGCCCAGAAATGCAGTCCTACTGTGTACTGCTGAGGTGAGAACCTAGAAATGCTTGGCAAACAGCACTACTGTCTTTCAGAGATGCCCAGTGACATTTCTACCACCAATTTTGTCTTAAATAGTCAACCAGTCATCCAGGCTGAAGATGGCCCTGTGGGTACGGTCAGGTCACTGGATCAAAGCAGAAGTCACAAAGCCATTTAGTCACCCCTTTTCACAACACACACATACAAACAAATGTGTGCCTCTTTGCAGGGCTGCTTTCAATGCCGTTAGTACTGATAGTTTAGAAACAATACAGGGATTATTTTCAGACACACAGTAATTATTCAAATGATAACAATTTTCAGTCATTTGGAAATTATGCTCCTCTCATAAAATTAAAATAAATTGTTCATAGTGAGGGAAACGAGTCTAACCTCCAGATTTATAAAATTTCCGGAGCATGAATTTATTTACCCACATTTCCTTCCTGACTCCTGTCACTGAAGAAACAACTTTTATTTCTCTTCATCCAAGGCCTGTCAATTTCAGAGTGTCATGCAACTTGAAGCCCAATGATTGCCTTCAGTTTAGTAGATGTATTTGATACTGTATCAAGAAGAAATTAAGAATTTCCTTATGTTGATAGCATTTAGTCTCTTTTCTCTTTCATATTTCCCTATGCTCTTCATCTTTTCAGTGCATATTAAGGGAACTATGGTGCTGCAATAACAGGACAATTTCCAAAAATTACCATATGATGCCAATTTGGCAATACAGACAGAGTGTAGGGGTTAGATGTGATTAGGGATATAACGTGCCAGGTATGAACCTGCCGTCTCTCTGCCTGACAGGATCAGAGCAACACAATGAAACTACAAGCACACGCTGCTTGGAGTGAGGGGGAGCTTGGCAAGGGAGCAAATGCTCCAGATCTCTGGACACAGTCCCATTTATTTGCAGATTGCTACCCCCAGGTCACAAATGGATTTAAGTAATTATTTCCTTGAGATGGCATTACTGCAAACATATACCCTAGCTTTGTCTCTTGCTTTTTATGGGAAGAGACCTTGAAGCCAAAAGATAACCAACCCTTATTCACATGCAAATGAAGCATCCAGTACACCTGGGCCGACCAGGATTCCCCCCTGGCTAGAATTCCGAGAATGCATTAACACAAGGTTGAGAGTGTTTAACACAAGGTTAAAAAATGTCCATCTTCCAACACTCCAACCCCATAAGATCTTAAGCAGAAATAGTATCTTAGCCCTGAGCAACTCAGCCTGAAGATACGTTTTCTCCTAGGAATGTTTCTCTCCTGGTAATTCTCATCTTGGCTACAACTCAGTGACTCAGTGGTTGTACTCCCAGTGAGAAATCCATTTTTCACCTGTATTATATATCCAGGTGATATTTTATTTTCTCTTCCCACCCTCCCACATCAAATTCATTCCATTAAAAGGTGTGGTTGAAAGTCTGCATTACAAAGAGAAGAGGTAGCCTTTACTGTGTTTGGTTTCCCAAACCAGCTCTCCAAGAGGTGACAATCTTCTCAGGAGATGGAGAATTGGTTTCCAAAGAGATAGAAGATCTCTGGGAAACAGCCAATCAAGGAGTGGCACCACTAAAAGAGGCAACCAGAGAATAAAATGTTGTCCTGCCTCTTTCCCACAACTTCCTCTGGGAGGGTGCCTGCTAAGATTGAAGAGCCTTCAAGATAGGCTATGATGAGCCAGCAAAGGAAAAAATTTAGCAGATCAAATTAATAATGTTGAAACTCATTAAATAGGAAACAATCAATTTACAGATGTTTCTAAGACAGTGGATAGAATATTTTGTTCAGATACACACATGGGTTATTAAAGTTAGGGAGTGAAGAGTGTGACCATCTTAGCCTTTGGGCCTGGGGGATTTCGTGTCAGGTTGGTGTGGACTGAGGTGTAGCTCTGGGATGCCCTTCATATATAAGTAGTGTGGGCCAGTACAAAGAAGACAGGATTTGGGAACAGCCAGGTGTGTGTGTAAATTCTGTCCTTTCTATACTCTCTTATTGACTTGGGCCAGTCATTTAGTCCCTAGGAGTCTCATACTTAGCTCATGCATAAAATGGTAACATAAAGCACACTTTTAAAGATGATGATGCTGTAAAAGCATCAGCCCCAGTGTCTAACATACAGTAAATGTTTCCGAGACTTTAGTTCCCTTTCCCCATCCATCTATTTTTCTAGAGATGGGAGTACAAGTACATTGCTTTTTCTTCAAAGGTGCTTTTGGCTCTGTGCAGCCAGAGGGGTATAGCATGGGCTGGAGAATAGACTCAAGGTAATGTAACAGGACTTTCTTTATGCTCATGAGCAAGACATAGAGGTGGCCTTCGAATGTCCTTCTAGTAGGTTTGCCTGGTCATAGGGTAGAAAAGGGGACAAGGTTTTGGACACAAGAGATCTGCTTCAGGATTAAAAATTAAAACTGAATCCTAACCTTGGTACAAGAGAACAAAGAATTCTATATGGGATAACAATACTTTCAGAATAACAAGTTGTGGAGGAGATAAATTTTATTCTTGAATGACTTGAGTCACTTCATTTCATAAGCCAAAGCAAGTTTCATGGAAGATTAGTGATAATCGTCTGTGTATGCTAAACCTAAGTAAGAGTGTATAAAGGCTTCTATTAAGAGATGTTCCTACACTGACATCACAATTAAGAAGATACACCATTGAGACACGTAACCTGAGCTGTGTAACGAGCCATTCAATACCCCTGCCTCAGTTTCTTTATCAATAAAATGGTTGTAAAAGCACGAATCCTTCTTACATGCTGTTATGGTCTAAGTTGACATCCTAACCCCCCGTACCTCAGTATGTATGTGATGATATTTGAAGAAAGGGCCTTTTTAGAGGTAATTAAGTTAATAGGAGGTCATAAGAGTGGGTCCTAATTTAATATGACTAATGTCCTTATAAGAAGAGGACAGTAGGACACATGTCTGTACAAATGAAAGATCATGTGAAGACAGAGGGAGAAGATAGCCATCTATAAACCCAGGAGAGGGGCCTCAGAAGAAACCAACCGTGAGACATCTTGATCTCAGACTTCCAGCCTCCGGAGTGGTGAGAAAATACATTTCTGTTGTTTAAGCCACACAAAGTCCATGATAGTTTGTTATGGCAGCCATCACAAACTAATATACATGCCCAGAGATTTAAAAAAAAATAATAATAATAATTTTTAGAATAGTTTAAAAAATTCACAGCAGAATTGAGAAGAAGGTACAGAGACTTGTCATATACACCCTGCCCCCTACATAGACACAGCCTCCTCCACTGTCATCTTTCCCACACCAGTGGGACATTTGTTGCAACTGATAAACATACACTGATACATTGTTATCACCCAAAGTCCATTGTTTACATTAGGGCTCACTGTTGGTGTTGTACATTCTATGAGTTAGGACAAAAGTCCAAAGACATGCATCATCATTATCGTATCGTACAGAGTATGAAATAATAATATACCAATAATAGGGCAGATTTCATTTAAGTCAAATCTAATCCAAATAAGTCAGTGAAGCTGACTCTGTGCAAAGAGCCTCAGAACAGCTAGTAGGGTAGATACAAATAAGAGGTGATGTATACTGCAAAGAGTTTGTTGTACAAATGGGTAATCCATTTATATTCTCAAGGCAACCATCTTAAAGAAGCCCTTTGCAGTGGCTGTTGTGACACACAGCTGAGACTCTCCCTTCAGGACCAGGACACTTATTCTTCCAGCTGCCAGGAGTGTTGCTGGCTGGTGACCCACAGCCAAGTTCCTCCCTAGGAATTGCCCTCCAAGGACTGAAGGAAGCTGCCACTCCCCAGGTCATGCCAGAGTCAGCCTGCATCTAAAGACTGCATGATGCTGTATATATAGGCCCAGCTCCCTTCTCTACATTTAGAGCATTTTTGAAGGACCAGCCCGGTTCCAGAGCTTCCTGTGGGATTGGAAGAGGCCTCTTTCACAAATGCATTATAGTCAATCCTCCTCTACTTCTCCGTCTCTCAGGCCCTCAGGGGTGCCACAAGAGTACTCCCTAATAAACTACATGCAATCAGAGTCTGTTTTCCTGGGCACGTGATCAACGAATACCATTCCTTATCTGCTCTTGTTATTCAAAAACCAATGCTCTTCTTTGTTCAGGGTAAGTTGAAGTAATTGACAGTCTGAATATTCTACATGGTGGACTGAGGGATCATGGGTAAAATTTTCTTACATTTAATGATGTGTTGTGCCTATGGAAGTAAGTCTCACTTAAAAAAAAAAAATATATATATATATATATATATATATATATATATATATAGAGAGAGAGAGAGAGAGAGAGAGAGAGAGAGAGAGAGAGAG